TGAGCTGAGGGAGCTGTGAGGGGCTGGGGAAGGGACGCTGAACTGAGGGGTCCTTCAGGGTGTGCTGAGGGTGGCTGCAGTGGAGACAGGAGGTTGGGATCGAAGGGACGAACTGAAGGCAGCACCATGAGCAGGCCCATAAGTGCAGCRCGGAGGCCCAGAAGTGACAGCAGCAAGAGGTAACTGCTGCAAGGTAACAGCAGCTTTACCTCCAGCAGCCATGAGAACATGGAGAGACTCCCCTGGAGATATCAGTGTGAGGTAATGGTGGGCAAGAGGAGGGGAGCGAGAGGGCAGGGACTGAGGGGTGGGTGAGGAGATCATGAGGAGATCATCTGCTCTGCAGTGAGCAGAGGTCTAATGGAGCTGGAAGGAACCTCTCAGGGATCTCTACACTGTTCTTCTGGCAGAAATTACTCCTGCAGCAGCATCTCACATAAATGTTCGTCTCTGATTCTTTTTCTGAAAATACGGTTTTCAGCCCCCTTTAAATTCTCCACATAATCTCAGCCATTCATTATTTTTTGTGTGCTCTTTTTGAAAAGCAGCAGGGGCTGCAAGAATTGTGTAGATTCCTGCCTGCTTGACTATATTCAATATATGGAAACAGGAATTCTGAAAAAGGCAAAATCTTCTCTGTGATCATTGTTTGTTCAGGAATTTACAGTATTATTGAAGTCTACAGTATGGTGGTATAAAAGGTCATCACAGTGATCTTGCTAGTCTCAATATTTCTCCATCCAGAAAGCTAGATAAAAAATTATGTATAGAAATTCTGTAGATTTCTATGAAACTCCATGAAAGGACAGTTTAAGAGAATGCACGGTACTGAAGCTATTACTAGTATTGCAAACAATCCCTTTTTTTCCTAATGTTTCCCTCTGTTGAATATAACATAACATTGCCTCATTTGCAAACATAACTGGCYGTGTTATCTGTGGAGTAAGATTTTGAAGTCCCTTGAACTGTTCAGTGTTGCTCAGATACTAATTAAAGCCCGAATTTTGTGTTTCATACATGAATAACTTTCACCTTTTTGTTTCATATCAATGAGCAGTATTTCTTTTCAGAAATTACCCATAAATAAAATGGAGCAGTGCTTCAAGTGGATAATTCTGGCTTCTTCAACTTAATTTACTTCAAGTAAATAATTTTTTTTCACAATAAACATATGGCTAGAAACTGAGCATTYAGGCACTAAGGATCAGTTGGTTTTGAAGGAGAATGCCTTTTTGTATTTTGATTGGGCTCTTACACATGTCAAAAGGTCTTCTAGACATCCAATATCATTAAAATGACAAGACATTGCTTCAGTCATTTCGGTTTTAAAAATTGTAGCAATATTTGTTGCTCTAAGTGGTTGTTGATACAATCGAAACTACCTTTATTACAAACTAATGAAATACAGCCCAAATCATTATCTTAAGTGAGGCTTGGATAGGGTTAATTTTCTTCCTAGCAGCCCATGTGGTACAGTGTTTTGGATTTATGAACCAAACAAACACTGCTGATAACAGAGACATGCTTTAGCTATTGCTGGACAGTCYTAGATGGTATCACAGCTTTTTCTGTTTCTCACCACCCCGCCAGTGAGCAGGGGGAGCACAAGAAGCTGGGAGGATATGCACTGGGAGATGGGACCCCAACTRACTGAAGGGATATCCCATACCATTAGATGCTGTACTCAGCAATAAAACTGGGGGAAAGAAGGAGGAAGGGAGGACATTTGGAGTTGTGGCATTAGTCTTCCCAGTATTAGTTGCACATGACCAAGCCCTGCTTTACTGGAAACAGCTGAACACCTGCCTGCCCATGGGAAGCAGAGAATGCATTACTTACCTTTGTTTTGCTTGTGCATCCAGCTTTTTCTTTACCTACTAAACTCTCTTTATCTCATTTTTACCTTTCTGATTCCTCCCATCCCACTGTGGGAGAGTGAGTGAGCAGCTCTGTGAAGCTTAGCTGCCTACCAGTTGTAACCCACTTCACCCTTTAAAATGGGTTTTGAAGCAGGGCAGAGTTATCATAATCCAGTATTTTATTTATGTGGAGCAACTTCTGCAGAAAACTTTGTCGTTCSCTCCTGTGACAAGGCGTGAGCTAGATACATAATTCAACTTGAAATTTTTCTGGTTGGAGTTTGGTTACACTAATTCTTCTAATTAAAAACATCCTCTAATATATTCACTTGGGTGAAACTAATAAAAATACCATCTTCACATGGCAGATTTAATGACATCAGAAGTCACTGGGCCCAATCCACTGAGTAAATAAGTTTTCTAAAAAGATAATAGGCTGTGAAGGGTGTAAAAGCAGAACGAATAACTTTACAGTCTACCTTTTTACTCACTAAGATAAGCTTCAAAGGAATCAAAAATAATTGAAAGAACTTTCAACATTAGTGCAGCCCTCACCAGCTGTCACTCCAAAGGTGAGGAAGAGGTAATGCACATTTGAGACATAGGCACTCAGTATCCAACCCAGGGCATTCAGTATTCCTCCAATAATGGCTGTCGTGCGACACCCACACATGCTGATGAATAAACCAATAAATGGACCTGTTAAAAAACATGAAAGAAATGGTAAATTATTTATTTAATCCTTTATGCTCTAATAATTTTCACCTTAAGTTTCTTAAAGTTTTAAATAAAATGTTAAACATCGGGCAACATATGTRACTCTATTTATTTTCCATATTACTTCTTAAAATCATGGAAAGAGAAATACAAACAACCAATTAAATGCTTAGCAAATACCTGGAAGACCTAAAATCAAAACTACCCCACGAAGAAGAGACAGTTTAAACAGAGGAACAAGCTGAAACACTTTTTTCGCAATGCTGATGCTATGTGAGTGCAAGACTTCTCCACAAGTAAGCAGAAGTTAAGCATTTTATTTTGTTTTACAAGGAATATTTTAAGCAGATCGAAACATAACTTTTTCAATCTTCATTTGCAGAGTCATAGATGTGTATGTACACATATACACAAACATTTCCTCCAGATATTATTTTGGGTTGAACCAACCACAACTTAAAAAATCAATTTTAATTCAGCTGCYAAACTGAAATATAAACTGTGTGAATTCAACATTTTCTCCTCCCAGATGGAGTATGGGAAGGACCACAGATCATCTGTKTTCTTAATTCTAGTGAGACCTGGAAGCCACAGGCTTCCTTTCCTCAYGCAGTCTCCTGGATTGTCTTCTCTATTATCTTCCCTGTTATTCCCTTTCTCCATCTAAATTGTAAACTTTGTCCTGGTGACTTTAAAAGGTCAACTTGAGACAACTGTAAGAAAATACTTTATGGATGAATGGCAAACATATTCTAAAAATCAAAACAGTTTTTAAGTATGTGATGCTGGCACATACCTACAATAAGTGTGATGCCCATGCTGAGGGAGCTAACCCATGCTGTTAAGCCACGACTTTGATTAAACTCTTCAAGCCATTCCATGTTGAGTATTCCAAGGGCCATTTGGGAACCCATTATAAGTATGTGCACAAGGAAAGAGGAAAATACAATCATCCAAGCCCATCCTCCATCGATGTTTGGATTAGGTTTAATTGGCTTACTTCCAACTTTTGAGTCATCCCCAAAATCGTATCCAATATCCTCTCGACTAGCATACATTTTCTGCACAGTATTCTGAAGCAAATGCAGTAAATACCTAAAAAATACATACAACATGATCAGATTTTGTAGTTTGGTTATAGTGAATACCATAAATCACTATCGTATTTCACCACTGTGGTTAGTGCTGTTGTAGTAAATTTTGTAGTTTAATTTTTCAAATGTAAAATGTTTAGAAAATTGTCCAATTAATTTATTTCTTTGTGTACCTTATTACCATAGCTGTCTATGCAGGAGTATTTACAGGCTGACAGTAGGCTGCATTATTTCCATTACTAAATGTTTTACTTACTTTTAGATGGCTTAGAGCACTCACTCTTCATGGGTTGACGGTGATCACAAAAAAGGCTGGTCTCCCTCTGTATATTATTTCTCTGTATCACCTTCTGCTGTCCCAGCAAGATGATGTGCCTTTGTGTTCAAGGTCATAAAGCTGGGAGTAAAGAAATTAAATCCTGAAGCAGCGGGTAGATGAAGTTACCACATCTTTTCAGAGGAAACCAGTTTGGGGATGTATTTCTTCTGGAAGAATGAGAATGAAGACAGCAAAAGATAAAGAATTAAGAGTCTCAATTCTCAAAATGCTTTGCTTACATAAATCACAACAAGGAGATTGTTACTACCTCTCTGGAAAGCTTTTTACTAGAGTCAATGTGACAACAGTTTGTTATGCTTTCAGTTTCCATAGTATTAATCCTCATAATCCTACTGAAAACAAAGAATTCTTCCAAATTAATGCCAATGCCTATCAGAATCAAACTGAGTGGCAGAGTTATGTGCATAGGTGTACATGGGATCAGGCCACACTAGCTTAATTTGATTACTTCAATTTATTCTGTTGGTACTCTAAGCAAAGATTGCCACACAAAATGAAAATAATTTCAAAACCACTTTTAATTGATTATCAGTCAAGGTGCAGAATGCACTCTTCYCTCCATCTGATTTCTGCTGCAACAGATTCAAATATTAACCAACTGCAGAGCACCACATAGGTTTCCATGGAGACTAGAAATGCAATTATACAAATTACCAGATATTGTAATTTTTTTACTTGTTTTCTTCTCCAGAGAAATGAAAAGAAACATCAGCTTCAGGACAGTTGAAAGAGAGAAGAAAGTTATCAAAAATTGTTTAAAAAAGCTCCTTGCATATCCTCTGAGCCCTGGTGTGCCTCTGGGCTGGCACCTCACTGCTGCAAACAGACGGTGAATGGACTAACCCAGACTCTGTACCAAGTGAAACTTTGTCTTTAAATATGTAAGTACATTTTGYTTCTCAAGTTACTACCTTTCCAAACTGTTCTTTTCTTATTGCTAGATAAACACACAGAGAAGGCCCTGAGGCATTCTGCAGTAATCCATAGCTGGAGTCAGAGCTGGCCAGTCACAGACACCAGTGAATACATGTTGGTCTGTGCAGTCTCTCCAGCCTGGCTGCTGCCTAAATTCCCTTTGTAGTCAAGTGTCACCCGACCCTTCCTTTCAGTGCAGGTAATCATGTGTAACTAAGGGCAGCTGGAGCACATAGGTTCTTCCAAGAGCACGCTGATCTACCTCATATAGTGAGCTGCAGCTAAAATACRTTAATCTCCTGGTAGCAAATTTTTCCTAGATGGAAGTCCCTTAGTGACTTTAGTTGTCACCAGCCCTAACTTGGTCATGGGAAGTATTGGTGACACAGAAAAGAAGAGCAAGAAGTGTACACGTTAAACACTTGCTGCGCAGGCAGGTACCTGTGATCAATCGATGAGTTGCCAGTGGAAATGGATACTGAAATGCCTTCCAGGCTTTTCCTTTTCAAACTGAGACACAGAGAATGGAGATGGTACTTAGAGGTCCTTCTAGAGGTCCTGCAGGGTGTTTGAGGCAATGAAAGCAGCAGGGATACAAGTCAGAGCCATGTGGAGGTGCTGACTGGTTTTTTGACCATAAAAGGACAGCTTGGTCACAATGATTAAATTAAATTATTAGTTAAATTAAAGAGGACAGCTTAGTCATAATTATACCTCATCCTTCCTCTACAAAAGGTTGGTCTTAAAGACAACATCTCAGCACTTTCCTAATAATGTACTTGGAGCCAGATCCTCTGTTGCTGTAGGTTACAGGACTACTTATATTCAGCCCACTCACAAAGCAGAGAGACTAGCTGCACAAAGGTGATAAACACAGTGAATAATCATGCTAATGGGAAATAATGAGAAGTAGCAGAATGAAGGAAAATCACAAGCTGTTGCACATGCTCTGTACAAGATTTATAAAAATGTATGAGGGATATTACAGTGCATCTTAGATAATGGAATACAAAATTATGTAATTGAAGATTCAGAGTTAAGATTAGACATGAAGCCTCACCTTTCTCTCTAATRCTTTTGACTGGTTTTGTGCACACCTGAATCCTGACACTGGATACAAAAATATCRTCTTTGGACAGGAAATAGGCACATCTTTTACATATTTTAAATTATTTGCAGAAAAATAATTGATATTGAGCTGAAAAACTATGACACTCCTCTTTGCAGTCTAGTTAGATTGAGTAGATGCAAGTTAATGTCATACTTGTATCAACCCCCACAAATCTTCAGAAAATGCATATATTTTCCATTTGAACTGAATTCTTGCTTATTATTACTTTCATACTATAACTTTCCACTAAGGTCACAAGTTCAGAGTGAATAGACTCAAAAGCAGGGCAGGTCATCTCCAATAACTGCACCATCTCTCAGTCTCTGAGTAAAGCAAGGATTGGATGCCTGGATCCTCTCCCCAGGACTGACTGATCGCCCCGTGGCCTTTTGTGCCCAGGAGAAAGGCACTTACCTGCCTTCAACCTTCTCTCCACACCACAGAACTGCCAAGAAAGGCTCGTGAAAGGCAGAGGAGCTCAAGAAACTGTAATGAAATTGTCAAATCCTAGAGAAACTATAATGAAAATGACTACAGCTGATTTGTGAAGCCAGCCAATTTCCCCAATAAGCAAGGCAGTGAAGACCCACTCACAGTAACAGTCTTTGAACACAGACCCTCAGAAAGAATTTCATTTAAAGGCAGGAGAATCTGGATTCTTGTTTGGTCACCTGAAGAACTAGATTTTTTTTTTTTTCCAGAAAAGCTTTTTAGACTATGTGCACACAAAGTACACAGAGCTCTTACAAAAATGGCCCAAGCATTAGTGCCTGCAAAGATGTTAAGCTTTTTTGACAACCTGACTCAGGAGCTAWTTTAGGGACAAATGCAGGTGCTGTAATAAGACCAAAGTTAGCACCAAAACACCCAAGTTCCATGTACCRTCAGTGGAACCATGGCTCTCTAGCTTGTAGTTTTTCAGATACCTGAAAAACATCTGCTCTTGATATAAAAAGTCCTTATGATGAATAATTAACATATCTTTGGTCAACCTCTTCCATCCTTTGACTGCCTCAATGTTAAAAATTAAAGAATAAAATCTTACTTTAAAGGCATTTCCAATAGATAAGTCATCAATATATTAAAAATAGTAACGAGTTTTACTTTGCAGTATTCCCAGTAAACACGCCTCATGTAATTATTTGGCTGATGAAGGCACACAGAGGAAACATTGCTAAAAACATGGTTTATTTTGGTTGTCATGTTTTGGCTGTCGGACCATCTTGCTAACATGCTGAGCACTTCAGCTGTCAGCAACTTCATGGAGATGTGGACACCGGCCACTGCTGTCAGTCAGAGCCCCAGTGCATAACACTGCATGCCCAGCAAGGAGCACAAAATCAGGAAAAGTAAATGCTTTAATTAACTGCCAGGCTCACAAGTTTGCATAAAGGGGGCAGCGGTTCCGTTTGGAGACTGGGGGTGCTGCCCTGCTACCCCTCCTTGAGGGATGTTTCCCAAGCCCTGCTCCGGTGGCCTCCTCGGCAGACCCCTCGGTGCTGTTGTGCCCCGGTGTGACCCACGCGTGGTGCCATTTCCCCGGGGAATTGGCTCAGATAGTGGACATTTTTCTCTCATTGGTATCAAGGGAACGGGCAGCTTGCATCAGGCGTGCACCTCTATTTTTTAGAGGCTTGCAGATTTCGGGAGCAGCCCGAAGGCAGGGGATGTACTTTTTTTYCCCAAGAGAATAGCTTTGGGAGCTTCGCACGCGACGCCTTCCCTCACTCCGGTTCACCTATTCGCCGCAGGGCTGGGGCGGGGACGGCCGGCACCGGCCGGGCCGCTGAGCTGCCACAGGGACAGCTCGGCGGCGGCAGTCGCGCAGCCCGGGGCCGG